TGAAGTATCACGTAATTTTGTAGGCATAAAATCATTTAATCTTAATTGCCTTTGTCCACTTCTACGCTATTCTCTTGATCCGGAGCGATTTATTCTTCGATTTAAATTAAATCTACTTTGAAATATTGGTGGCCTATTGTTATAATTATAATAACTTTCCATAGAGTCATTATTCATACTATAACGATTGTGACGTTGTTGAAAATTGCGATTATAAAAAATATTATTATTATTGTTTTGACGATTGGAAAAATTGTTATCCGTATTATTTTGAAGACTGTAAAAATCATTATTATAATTTCTATCAGGAATAGAATTCCTATATTGGTAGTTGTATTGTTTGTTCCTATAGACAGCACCACCTCGACGTTGATTATTCATATATCTTTGTGCTGGTGCTGTTGTTGTTGATTGTAATAGTAATTGATTATTATAATTATTATAATTCATGCTTGACATTAATCGTTAAAATAAGTTGAGATAAAAATGATCAAATTAGAACAATATAATTCAAATAATTTGATGCCTGAAACAGTATTAACAATATATTAAATAAAAAACAGGTTGGCTTATCTATGTTGAAAGAATAGATAAAAGTCAATTGCTATTCTCAACTCTTGCTTTTCGGCAATCGATTGTATTGTCAAGATTAAATGAATGTGCTAAAACAACACGTTATTGTGCTTGATATAAAAAATCATTAAAGAAATGCAGAGTTTAATTTGCCGACGCGTTTCGTATCTTTTCAAAGATAGTACTCCTCAGGGCTATGTTTCTAGAATAGAAGAAAAAAATTTAGTTTTTATTTAGGCTTAAATGGAAATAGAAAGAAATAATTGATAGATCATCGATTTGTTTGAAGTATTAACTAGTTTTGTAGATCATGCAATTTGAATTCTAGGGAGGAGATATAAAGAATTTAATAGCATGCAAGTAAAAAAATTCTGTTCGTGCTGAGTTTCAATCATTTGCATTGTTTGGTCAAGTAGGTAGATGACCATTATTACGACACGCTGCATAAATATCTTCATTGGTGGTAATTTGTAAAGTAGGATATGTAGGTTGATTCATTGGCTTCATGGTATGAGGCATATTTTCTCTATTTTGTACAATTGTCAAGTAAGACTCTTGGCGATTGTGTTCTTTTAGTTGATTCTTTTTATGCTTTGCACAACGATGAAAGATGCATGAAATCAGATAATCGTACGGTTTCAATTTCACGTAGCATATGCAAAGATAAAATATTAAAACAATTAAGAGAACAAGTATGAGAAGCAGACCGAGATCCCGCCAACTATTCCATATTGGAGGTGTGCTTGAGTGATGTTCTGCAACAGCTTGTTTTATATTATTTTCATTACTTATAGTATTTAAAAAATTGTTTATCAATGTTCGATGGTCGTCAATCATCGTTCGATGATCATTAATCATTATTCGCTGATCATTTACTGTGGCTTGCACAGCTGCAATATCCGCGCTGGCAGTACCATCTCGTTTTTGGCGTAATTTGTTTTCATTTGTTGGTTTATTTAGTAGAAAGCGAATCCATGCATTGTATATACCAAAACTTTTATGATTTATCAATGACGCTTTACTTCCTGTATCAATCGGAAGAACAATTGAATGCCAGATTAAGAAAGCTAAAAGCATTAAATATTGGAGAGTTTTTTGCATCGCGTATGTATCTGAAATTTAGAAAGAAATACAATAGACACATTGTATTTAATGAAACTCACGGTTGAAGACTCAGTGCCAAACGAGTACATTGATAATCGTATAAATTAAAAATAATTAAAGGAGATATCCGATTTGATAAAAAAATCTATATAAAAAAACATGAAATTGAAAAAAAAAGTCTGAGAGTGGCTAGTAGGCACCGTTCTCCTCAATGGACTATGGAACATTATTATAATTTCGACAATATCAATGAACAATTCATAATACATTGGAACTATTCAAAATTTGGAAGAAATGATATGCCTTATTTTCAATCAATGTTCGATCAAATTAAATCAAAATCATCTAACTTATGCTAACGATAAATTGAATAGAGAGTTAAACGAAATATATTCAAGAAGAAAGACAATTTCTTGTAATGTAATAAAAACATCCAGTAAGTATATGCCTGAAGACAATCATGTATACACATATCTATTACAATTAACACATAGGCGATATCGATGTGCAACTATTTCATATTAAATGTCTCACCTCAGTGAGAAAATCGCATTCTAGCTGTGCACATGAGCGTGATGATATGAAACTGCACAGAGCTGGTGAAGAATTCCTCTTAAGAAATTCCAATCTTATGATAAATATCATAAACAATCGTTTTTATCTCTGCAACCTGCAGCAATGCTCTTATCATTTTTCAGACAACGAGAGAATGGCAGAAAGAGAAAGAGAGAGAGAAAGAGAAGTTGGAAATACTAAAAAAAAGGATTCTTGATAACCTTTACAGTGCTAGATTTCAAAGTCATTTTCTGAACTGTTTTTTAAGTGCAGAAAAATAAACGTCAACAACGAAAACACGTTTTAAATCAGTGTATTGTTGACAAAATAATTTTCAAGAAGGTTTATGATTAGTATGCGTTTATTGATTGCATACTATATTTTGGAAAAAGCTACTGTTCTAGAAGCCAATATTTAAAATAGTTATCAGAATGAATATTTTATTTATTGAAATAATTATGTTTTTATGCGAATAAGTATTTATAAATCGTAAACAATGAATATTTCTTGTGCATTGCAAGAGTATGCATAAAACAATACGATAATGAGTTGTTGTGTTGATATATAGTAAAGAAAAAATGTAATGTTTAAAAAAGAATGACAGTTCTCATGTAACGAATATGGTTCATCTAAAACAATATTTGAAAGAAGGGTATATAAGTACATTAGAAGTTATGTTTTGATTTCAATGAAAAATATATTATCTAATGAGTTTTGTTATTATATTGTATGTTTTATTATACCTATTTTTAATAGCCATCAAGTAACTACAATATTTTGTTATACGTATATATTTGAATAGTAAGCTATTAAATGTGCGAATATTTCAATAAAATAGATACTAATGAGAATATCGGTTTTTCTATGAGTTAAAATTTAAAAGTAGATTTTTAGTGTTTTGAGATAAATTAGTTATGAAGTACAATCGGTGTAAACAAGCAACTAATACATATGTGGGCGATGAGCAGCATCCATATTATTCATCAGATTGTAAGGATTATAGTAACATGGATGTTTTTATTTAGACGATTATTGAATATAAATAATCTTAATAAATGCGATCTCACAATTGAAAGACAATGTGATACTTTTTCGAAACTTTCTATTTAAAATTGGTTTCTATTTATATGCTCATCGAGTGACAATGTTGGATGTGTAATTGGTTGCTTGTATCAGTTTTATAATTCATGGATGACCAATGATTTTTCTATGATTATAATTTGCTTGCTTTGGCACATTTAGATAATTTGATTTATTTGTTGCACACTATTACCAAATGACCGAACAACCTTAATAAGAATGTATGCATAAAATGCAGGGAATAAGACATCAAATATTTATTTCATTTTCATTTTCATGATAAAACATTCTGAACAGTTGTTGAGACACTAATGAAATTGTGTTAATGAACTCAGATTAGTATTTTAAAAACTGATAAGGTGTGTTTCTATTTTTCTAAAATAGTCCAAACGGCTACATTTGGATCCTAAAAAGTATAGTTATCTTCTTTATACGTATCTATTATGCCTGGAATTACATATTAAATATTTTTGTGTTGAAAAAAATACATATTGTAGCATTACTGGTTTTGAAATCAATCCCATCAAGATTAAGGTGAAAGAATTTATATCATATGTGTAGCTATGATTGATTGAATGGTACCTTGGCAAAATCATATACACTACATTTGTGTGGTTTGTAGAAATCAATTTGTTTATTAATATGTATGATTTTTCAGCTACTAGACAAAAAATATCGATTGATAATAATCGTGCTTTTCGTCATAGAAAAAAGAATTTATATATTAATGTTCATTTATTTTAGTCATTTCATACACGAAATTTCGAATCACTTCAGAAACCATACTAATAATTTAATAGTGACTTGTAGTATAGATACAATGACACTAAATTATTGATTACCACAATAAGTTGGTGGGTTTGAATGAGTACACTTATCGGTAATAATTGAAACGCGTCATTTATTCGCTCAGTGTAGTCATATATTAATAATCTAATTTTCTTGAAGCAAAAATTTTAAACTATAACAAGAAAAATGATAATAATACACGAATGAATGGTAGTCTATAATATTAAACACTTCATCAGTGTAAATATTTAAATAAATGAATACAATAATTTTGAGTAAAGTGTAATTAAAATGTGCTTACATCAAAATAAAATAATTTTATTGTAGAAATTTACAATGAGAAAAACAAGTATATGATATGCTAGATTCTGGTAAATTTTTTGTTACTACATTTTGATTATATTTCATGGTAATCTATAGTTTTACATAAACAGGTAAAACTAAAATGACACGTAATATTTTTTAAATTTGATGAGTGTCCTGACTTTAAAAAAGTAACGATATGTTATGGATTGAGTTCACTGGGCTATCTTTATTTACGTAAAGATACAACTACTTCATAACAATAAACAAAAGGGGGAAGAACGAGAGGAAACAAACAAACAAGACAGTGTTGACCTCCGACATATAGATAAAGATGTCAGACCCTAACAGTTAGATTATCCACTGTAATCAGGATCATCATCGGACAGATGAGAAATATCGAAATACGAAACGATCAGTTAGGTTATCATTGCTATTGGGGACCATCATCGGTTTGATGCTCAATATATATATATATGTACTGAACAATCAGTTAGATTGTCCATCGTATTGAGGACCGTCATTGGTTGGATATGTCACAGTTGACATGGGAATTTAGTTGAGATTGGAATGCACGAAGAAGAAAATTAATTAAAAAAACGAAAAGAAAAAACATAACAAAGAGAAATTCTCTGAGAGCGATTTCTTTCTTAACGTATTACAAAATAAGTTATTTAAAGAATTATTTGAAAACACTGAAATATTAGTCTTATTGTTTCAAAATGTGTTATTATATAAAATTTTATTTAGATTTAATAAAGAAAAAAAAAGTATTGAATAAATTTTGTTTTTGTGAATATTCTATTTTCTTGCTTATATGAGTCATATCATTGATTATTCTCTTTTTGTTTTATTTATGATTTGGTATTATAAGGAAGTAAAATAATTGGTTCTTCCATGCATAATAATTTACCAAAAATTGTAGTTTTTTATTTAAACTGTCTAATAAAATTTATTGACCGATACATTTGAGAATCATTCATTGATTAACTTAATTCTTATTTATTGATTGTTGTTGCTATGAAACATACGAGAGGTAAACATAAATTAAGTCGAAGTTGTAATTATTTAAGTTATTATGTTTTGTCTCGAGACAAAAGTCGTGTCAACATGAATATTTTTCATCAAAAACTTGAATCATATATAAATAGCATTGATGTTAAGAAACAAACGAATTATACAATAAAGAATGATATGTATTTAGATATTTTGAATGTTCTTAAATCACAAAATGTAAATCAATT